GGGCCGGGGCCCCTGCGCGGCTCGGGCGCTCAGGGTCCGCACCCTCCCGGCGCGGCTGCCCCGCAGATCCGCCCCGACCGGACGCGTGCGCACGCGCGCCCCCGCGGCGCTGCGCTGCACAGCACTACAGGGTCGACGTGAGCGCCCCTTCGCTCGCGGGACGCCGAGCCGGGCCGCGCAGCCGTCCGCCGCTGTGCGAAGGCGCTCCTAGCGCCCCGCCCCCGGAGCAGGTTCGGTTCTGGTGCCGGTGCCGGGGCGAGCCGGGAGGCGTCCCGCTGCCGCTCGCGGCGCTTCCCGCGCGCAGGCGGCCCGTGGGCGTGGGGCGGGCGCGCAGCAGCGGCGCCACCACCCAGCAGCCGGCGCAGCGCGGCGGGCGCTCGCCGATCCGGCCCCGAGTCCCGCGCGGCCAGAAGCTCCCGCGGGGACGTGGGCCGGGCCGGGCCGGACTCTCAGCCCAGCCCACCCCCCCGGGTTTTTGTGCCGGAAGAAAAATGGGGGGGGGGGGGAGGGCGCGCTGGAAGCCGCCTCGGATTCTTTGCAAGAGCAAGGAGGCGGCGGCGGGGGGGGGGGGGTTGTTCATGCAGCGCAGTGCTCAGGACACGAATGGGGGAAGCCAAGGGCCGGCGCGGGTCCGCCGGCACTCCTGGGTCGGGGGCAGGCGACCCTGCAGTGTGCTGCACTGCACGTAGGAACGCGTGCTTCTTCCTGATGGAAGGCAGAGCCGGGGTTTTGTCACGGATGGAGCGGTGAAGTCTTACTGCGTCGCTGGTGGATTTTTCCTGGAAGTCATGTGGCCTCGCATTTTTCAAGGCTGCTCCCCACCTTAGATGCTTAGCTGGAGAAGCAAACTGAAAGCATTTAAGGGAACAGACACTGAATGCGACAGCTGTGCAGCTTGGCCTTTCCCCCGGGGGCCCCTGAAGTGGTGCGGGTTCGGGGGGGGGTGGGCTTGGTTTAGGATAAGCCTAGCCTACGTTTACGAACTCCGCATTTCGGGGCCAGGGTGGGAGCTGATGCTGAAAGAGCATGGTGCGCAACAGCCCTGCAGTGCAGTCCAGTGTTGTTACCCCAAGATGAGAGATTGGGAGAGCGGTGGTGACTGAGCCTGCCAGGGTTGGTGTGGTGTAGTGGTTAGGACCCCGGGCTGGGACTCGGGAGATCAGGGTCCTAGTCCCTGCTTGGCCATGAAGGTCCCTAGGTGCTTTTGGTCCCGTCTCAGTCTCTCAGCCTACCTCACAGGGTTGTTGTAAGGACTACATGGAGATGAGGAGGAGCTTGTATGCCTTCAGTTCCTTGCAAAAGGAAGAAAGGTGGCTTCACACCTGGAGTGCAAAAGGCTGGGCCATTTGAAGGAATTTCTAGCTGGCCCACACTCCCAAGAAATGGACATTGGTGGTCCTTTTGGGGCCAGAGTGGGGAAGGGTTTGGAACCAGTTCAGCTTTGGAAAATCTAGGTGTCTGTGGGAATGGGCCCCCGGAGAGTGTGGGGCAGCCCAGTGGTGCATCCCTGGAATCACCACTGAGGGAAAGCGCTGATCCGGCCCTTCGGCAGACCCTCCTGCAGTCTGGGCGATTGGGCTGCAGGGCAGAAAAGGGGGAGCAGTTCCGTGCCTGGGAGGATCTAGATGTCTGGAATAGAGCTATTAATGACAAGTTAACTTGAGATATTAAATGGAAAAGGGTTTGACAAGTGAAAATAAATTTGAAAATATTTGGAATCCTTTTATTGAATACGTCTTAATGAAAGGAAAGGGATGTGAGCCACCCCAAGGGTCAGTGCAAGTTCTGTGTTAATTGTATTGTTTTTCTTAGTTGTGAGAAATAAACAAAAAAAGCAGAAAGGAAAAGAAAAGAGAGAGAGAGAGAATCTAGATTGTAATTAAGTTGTTACAGGGGTCAGCTGGAGCAGCAGGTGATTTGAGAGGAATCTAACAGCAGGTTTTCCCTGAGATGGGACCAGCCCAAACCTGGGGAAAATTGCTGTGTGAGTGCTGCAGAAGCTGCACACCACACACAGAGCTCCTGAGCATATGCAAAGTGCAAGCACCTTTGGAAGATAGATTGGCTCTGTTTTCATCTCAGACCAGGTGAATCTATCCCCTGGGGCAGAGAAAGACCTGCACGAACATGCAGGAAATCTTGTGTTGTGCCAGAAACCGAAAGGTTTCTGCAAAAGGGTGCTGGTGAAGCCTTTTGGGCCATCGCCCATGAACAGAGGCGGCAAGGCCATTGTTGAAGAAAGGGGGAGGATTTAGTGTTGAAAGTTTATATTGCTGGGTGGAAACCATGTGTAGAGAGATGAGTTTTAAAACACAAAGAGCTTTACGTCCTCTTGAGAAAGAACGAGGGGAATATTTTAAGGAAGACGAACTTCCTAAAGCATAGCAAACACAGCAGAGGTTTGGGACATGCGTGCGTCATGCTTGGATCAGCCAGCAGGAAAAAAGGATCTGGGGAGCACCAGAGATTGCACGACTTTCCCTTTCTCGCTTTCTCACTTGGTTTCCGAGCAAGGTCTATAATTTATGTTTTGAATCCTGAGTCTACAAGCTTGTCATTTCAATGCCAAGACAAAATGTTTAGACAGGAATAGATGATACTCATTCATGTGAAAGAAGCTTTCTCACCCCATGTGTTCGGGTTTAGAATGGTCTGTATGTAAACGCATGTAGATGTGGTTAATTATGTAGATCAATTGGGTTAAAGATGTGGGGAAAAAGAACCTGTTGGCCAAACTGCCAAATCTGCAATGATTCCTATTTCCGAGGCTGCTGTTTTAACTTGGTGTTAACAAGAAGTCACTTTCCGTTAACAATATTGCCCAATATTGCTGAGATACTCTAATCAGGCCCAAAATTCAGAAGAAGAATCCTGGAAACTGGAGGTGAATTTTCTACCAAGAATGGGAGATGGCAGACTTAAGATAACCTCGTTTTGCCCCACACCTGGCCCACACCTGTTACGGGACAGAGCAGGTAGAGAAGGCTGCAGAACTTGAATGAGGGCACCAAATTTTCTTATACTAACCTAGTTGGTATTATGTGTGCCTAATTTGTCAGGCCCAGAATATAGGCAAATACGTAAGACAAAAAGGGTGTATTTATTCTTGGGGTTCTTTCATGAATATTCAGGAGAAGATGAGGATGAAACTTTTGAAAAGCAAATTGCCTGTGTTTCGAGGAGGCACAATTTCACTGTTATGGGGGACTTCGATTTCCCCGGTATCTGTAGGAAGACAAAATCTTCCAGTCATGACCCCTCCAGGAGATTCCTACCATGTGTTGCTGATCACTTCCTCCAACAGAAAGAAGTCTTGTGGAAAGTGACCGTCTGATCCTTGACTTCTTGATTCTAAAGGAAGCAAAGGTCAAACGTAGCCAAAGTTGTGCCTGGATTTCAAGAAAGCCAATTGTAATAAATGCAGGACAATGATAAGGCCCATGGCAAGTGGCTCTAATGAGAAAAGGGGCCTGAGATGTTTTTTAAGGAAATTCTAAAGGCACAATTGCAAACGAGAAAGGGTAGAAGACAACCGAAGAAGCCCGTGTTGCTTCACAAAGAGCTTAAAGAAAGGTTTTGAAAACAGAAAAGGACATATATGCAAAGAGGAAGGAAGGACAGGTTGCATGGAATTGCAGGAATGGTGTCAGGAAGAGGAAAGCTAGGAATGAACTGAGGCTAGCAAGGGATGCTAAAAGCTCCAAAAAAGCCTCCTTTGGATATGTCTAAGGTAAAAGAGAGCAACTCTAATTTAACATGATTGTTGGGCACTGTCAGCCTACAGCCCAGTGGTTTGTTCCAGATTGTCTTCAGGAGATGTTGGAACACCAGGATGTTCTGTGGCTGCATCAGGGGATGCCCTGAGACCGGTCCCCTGAAAATTCCTGGATTTTCTGAATCCTCCACCAAGTGCCTGTTTGGAAGCGTACGCACTCTGGGATCTTCAAGAGGAAGTGGGGTTGTCCTGTTGTGGTGCCACAGACACATTGTGGTCTTCCTGCCCTTACCATTTGCCCACCAGTAAGGCCAGTTAGATGAATAACAGTATGAAAGAGGGGTTTTTTCTGCAGTGGCTCCATGCATTTAAAATAATGGCCATCTGTGGCTACCAGGCCCATCATTGCAAGCTTTTGGGAAGATCCTGAAAACTCACAACTTAGAATCATAGATTAGAATCATGGGAAGGGGCCATGAAGGCCATCAGGTCCAACCTTCTTGCTGTTGCAGGACATCTGGTTTCTTTTTGAATGTCTCTAGTGTGGGAGAACCCAAGACCTCCCCGGGCAACTGGTTCCACAGTCCTATTGCTCTGACAGTGAGGAAGCTTTTTCTGATGCTCAGCTTGCATCCGGGTTGTTGCAGCTTGACTTAATTATTCCGTGTCCTGCACTCTGGCATCAGCAAGAAGAGATCTTGGCCTTCCTCTCTGGGACAGCCTTTGAGGTACCTATAGAGGGATCTCCTGTCCCCCCTCAGTCTTCTCAAGACTGAACA